GCCAAAAAAAAAGGAAGAAGAAGTAGTAGAAGAAGAAGAAGAAGTTCTTTGTCCGTTCCAAAGAAGTAGTTCTTTGTCCGTTCTTGTTTGTGATAATTAGGTTTTATCTCTCTATTTTCTACTGAGCTTTTGTCATTAAAGACTGTTTATTTGATTCACCTTCTATACACAATCAACCTGTAACTGAAGAACGGACCTAAACAGTTCAATTTTGCAGCATTTTCTTCCGCATTTCTTTGTGTTTTTTTTTTTTCCTTCATGGACCTGCCTACTATCCATCTTCTGTGTCTGGAGCAGGGAGACCGTTCACTGGAAGACCACACCTGGGACTTCATCCATCTAACATGCCAAATGCACTACCTGGTCCGCTGGAAGGCATGCCTTAGACCGCTCGCTCAGGCTGGTGTGGTAAAAGAAACAGTCTAAAACATGCCTTCCATCGGAGAGTCCAAAGGTGGATTTCGTTGCTTTTGTGGATTCGGTGCTGGTGAACAACAATTCAGCATTTACCGTCGGCCCCGCTGAAGATGACAACTTCACCAGCCCCACTCATGCACATCTAGAGACCAGCCAACCACACCCCACGAGCTGCACGGGACATTCACCAGATCCCACCGCAGACTGTGGAGATCGGTCTGCCGTGATGCACAAGCCCGAGCCCGCAAAGAGGAAGGAAAAGGACATCGCCCCGGAGCCTGAGCCACACGGGGAGTCTGCGTCGTTAAAGGAAGTGCTTGTGGAGTTTGAAGGCTGGGAGGGAAGCCCCGGCCACAACCCTGCCGCTATATGGCCTCTGGAAATTATATGGATGAACTATTGGAGGTGGTTGAGGAGGTAAATTCCCTGGTTCTCCTACCCCCCCGGTCCCGCCCAGTCCTGAATTTCCTGGTACCCCTCTGGTTCTGCCCAGCCCTGAATCTCTTGTTTTCCTGCTGGTTCCCCTCTCCTCTCCATCTCCTCTGACAGTCAGTTCCACAGCTCCGCCCAGTAAGGAGGTTCCCCTGGCTCTGCTTCAAGCCTACGAGCCCATCACTTCACATGCGGCCTGTTGGCTCCCCCTTGGCTCCTCCCTCCCTGAGTTCTCCTTAGTTCTTTGTCCGTTCTCTTATGTGATAGTTTGGTTGTAACTCTGTATGTTCTCCAGACCTTAAGTTTATTTGATTCACCTTCGTCATGCAATTCATATACACAACCAACCTGCAAAGGCCCATTCATTGCACAAGCCACTAAAGGACATGTAATGTAGGGCTAGGCTGTCACGGTTATTTTCTTTTAATGTCGCCCTGGTCTGTCAGCCTCGCTGTTGCGCCGGTTCCTCCAGATATCATGATTCCACCTCCGCTGATCGGTCCCAGTGTTCTGTCCACCCCTTTAGTCAAGACTCCGCCCTGGATCCTCCCACCGTCAGCGCCACCATGGTGCCTGTGGCTAGCAACTCCCACAGGCTCCTGTCCCTCACCAGCCCCACGCCATCCACCGAAGCCTCCGCCCTCTTTTCTCCTGTTGGACTATTCTGTTACGGAGCAAGGTCACGGTTCCCGGGAGGGGGAGCTTATGTCACTGTTATGTTAAGTTTAGTTCAGTTCCTGTCATGTCTATATTAGTTCTCATTAGTTACTATGGTGTCTGATTGGTTTATCTCTGTCCAGCTGTGCCTTTTTAGTGTCCTCATTTGCTATGTGTATTTATAGTCCCTGTTCCGTTCAGTCCTCTTCGGTTATTGTTTGTGTCAAATGTGAATGTGACGGTTCTTCCTGAGTTTGTTATTAAAGACAATGCATTTCATAATCTTCTTCATCTTGCTCCTTCTACAGCCACTTATCCATGACATAGGCGGTACATCAACTGTTTAATTTATCGGTATATTTTCAAACATGATATAGAAAGAGACAATACCATTTATGGTGATATAATTTGATTTTGTGAATGCATCTGAAAAATAGCGGAGGACACAGAGTGAGCTGCTACGGAAAAAGTGCAGGATTAGCTTTGAAATGAAGTGGAAAACCATGGAAATTTGGACATTTTTGATACGTTAATGACTTCACAAGCAGATAGAATGGGAGTGCAATGATTTGGACTAAAATATACATTTTGTATAATGTATAAAAAAAACTATTATTTATGTAATATTACTATTTATGTTTATGAGTGAATGTGTTTCTCCTACGTCCAGTTAGCAAACTTTATTTAGGGATTGTAATTTAAAAAGCAACAGATGTTTTGTTTTGTTTTTAACGTAATACTTATATATTATATTTTATCCCTTTATATGCTCATAATTTATAGCACATATCTACATGGACACATTCACTATGTTTGTTTTCATAGCCTTCAATTTGCACATTGTTTGGAGCACAACATTGAGCAGGATGAGGAATGGCATATATTATAATAAAATACAGAAAATATAATTTGGTGTGCATTATGAAAAGAAAACTGAACATTTATCCCTCTTCGTAGAAAATACAGAGACATAGGCTTATTTCTTATATCACCAGTCAGCCTAAAAACACAGAGATGTTATACATGTTATATCACAACTCTTATTGGACTTGCATGTTATTGTGTTTATTAACGAATCAATGCTGCAATTTTACAGAAATTCTGTCAGTCATTTCTGCCATTATTGCATGCTACAGAGGAACATGTCAATTCAGCATGAAGCAGTTCATTTTGCTAGTCATGTATTCATAAAGAACTACTTTACACAGTCTGAAGAATATGTAGGTCTTGCATTTTCCTGTGATTGAATTATACTGGCCTCAAGATATTGAGCATATCAGAGCGACGGGTGGAACTGGTAAAGTAATTGTGGATCGGTACCAGCAAAAATCCTTTGAAGAGTCTCTGTTCAGTCACCATATAAATTCGAATTTTATATCAGCTATACATCTTGTAGCATCTACTCTATGGTGACACATATACTGTACCCAATGTTTCATATTCTGACCAAAATTAGGTTTCATTATTATTTATCTACAGCTAATGTATAGGTGTTAAAATATTGACACAAAATATTGATACTAACTATACCAACTAGCTACATACACTGAACAAAATTATAAATGCAACACTTTTGTTTTTGCCCCCATTTTCCATGAGCTGAACTCTAAGATCTAAGACTTTTTCTACGTACACAAAAGTACACAAAACGTAGTACGTTCTACGCCTATTTCTCTCAAATATTGGTCCGAAGACCAGTCAGTATCTGGTGTGACCACCATTTACCTCATGCAGTGCAACACATCTCCTTCGCATAGAGTTGATCAGGTTGTTGATTGTGGCCTGTGGAATGTTGGTCCACTCCTCTTCAATGGCTGTGCGAAGTTGCTGGATATTGGCAGGACCTGGAACACGCTGCCGTATACGCCGATCCAGAGCATCCCAAACATGCTCAATGGGTGACATGTCCAGTGAGTATGCTGGCCATGCAAGAACTGGGATGTTTTCAGCTTCCAGGAATTGTGTACAGATCCTTGCAACATGGGGCCGTGCATAATCATGCTGCAATATGAGGCGATGGTCGTGGATGAATGGCACAACAATGCGCCTCAGGATCTTGTCACGGTATCTCTGTGCATTCAAAATGCCATCAATAAAATACACCTGTGTTCGTTGTCCATAACACCACCATGGGCCACTCGATCCACAACGTTGACATCAGCAAACCGCTCACCCACATGACGCCATACACGCTGTCTGCCATCTGCCCTGTACAGTGAAAACCGGGATTCATCCGTGAAGAGAACAACCTCTCCAAAGTGCCAGACGCCATCGAATGTGAGCATTTGCCCACTCAAGTCGGTTGCGACAATGAACTGCAGTCAGGTCGAGACCCCGATGAGGACGACGAGCATACAGATGAGCTTCCCTGAGACGGTTTCTGACAGTTTGTTCAGAAATTCTTTGGTTATGCAAACCGATTGTTGCAGCAGCTGTCCGGGTGGCTGGTCTCAGACGATCTTGGAGGTGAAGATGCTGGATGTGGAGGTCCTGGGCTGGTGTGGTTACACGTGGTCTGCGGTCGTGAGGCCTGTTGGATGTACTGCCAAATTCTCTGAAACGCCTTTGGAGACGGATTATGGTAGAGAAATTAACATTCAATTCACGGGCAACAGCTCTGGTGGACATCCCTGCAGTCAGCATGCCAATTACACACTCCCTCAAAACTTGCGACATCTGTGGCATTGTGTGATAAAACTGCACATTTTAGAGTGGCCTTTTATTGTGGCCAGCCTAAGGCACACCTGTGCAATAATCATGCTGTCTAATCAGCATCTTGATATGCCACACCTGTGAGGTGGATGGATTATCTCTGCAAATGAGAAGTGCTCACTAACACAGATTTAGACAATATTTGAGAGAAATAGGCCTTTTGTGTACAGACAGGAAGAGTGTTTAAGAAACATGTTTTTAATAAAAGTGATTATTTTTGAAATTCTGTGATTAGTGATATATACATTTTCTTTAATTAATTAAATTAATGCATTTTGCATGCATACATTATTATTGTTTTGGTTAAATTCAACCTGCTGGTGTATAATATAACTGCTAATATAACTCTGGAGATGTATAATCACAAATATATTGACTATCATACAATTTTTGAAACAGTGGTTCCAAATTAATGATAGCTGAAAAAAATCTGTATAAATTATGACTGATTAACATATTTTATTTAATTTTTTATGATGGAATTTTGTGCAATGTACAATTTCCAGCCCCATGTTACACCACTTAGATCTTTATATGAGACTGTAAAGCTTTGAGGATCAGCATATTTATTGGTGTATTTAAAAGTATTTTGTATTGTAAAAAGTTTGTTGAGAGCTATAATTTTGAGTGTCTTAATCTCCCCAAGGAAACTCTTTCTGTAGAGAGAAAATGAAAATTACAGCATGGAAAAGTTTTCCTCAAAATGAACAAACTGTGATTCTAAATAGGAGGATTGAAGTGCCCTGGGATACATTTATATCATTCTCCTTTTCTCTTTTCAGATGACTTGAGTCGTGAAGCCTCTGGATCATTTCTGGATGTGGCCACTTCACCCTCCTCAAACCATTTGTTGGGTGGCTTCCTTATGACAGACAGGAATCCTGCCTCCATAATCCAATCAGATTCAACAGGATTGTCAAAGGGAACCAGAGAACAACCAGCATTTTCCTCCATACTTGCATTACTTGCTAGCACAGCCCAAAAGCCTCCCGAACACCCATTGAAAATTGTTGTGCGTGACAACAAAACAAACCAATGGCTTTCAAACGGGTCTTTGGAGAGAGTGGAGTCTTCATTCACTCCATTTTCTGTGCTGGTCAGCAATCAATCCTCCGGCTCAGGTTTGTTTCCCTGCATGCTGCTTGAGATTAATTCTCAAAACCTGCCATTACTATATCCTACACTTAATGTAGCTGTCACTGGGGTTACACGGACTAGTCAATCAGGGATTCATTTCCCAAAAGCATTGTTAGCCACTTATGGTTGCAGGTTTCGTTGTTACCATAGTTCAACGATTCAGTGTTTCCGGAAACCATAGCCCCAACGAACATTCACAAAAAGCTACTGCACGATTAATCGCAATTTACATGTAATCGCACTTAAATCGAGATGCTTATCGCGATTTTGAAATCGCAAAGGCTGCGATTCTCTTTTACGTGCAGCTCGTCATTGATATACGGCCCTGTAAACGCTGCTCCATCTGAAAGCACTGTGAGTTGAGTCACTTATAACATGCATTTGAAAAAGCAACACGCGTCAAACATCTTTCCAAACATGAGAAGCATTTATGAACCTCTTGTCCAACAAAAGACAACATTTAATAACATGCATTTACTCCAAACTCACTTCATAACGACAGATGAGCATAATTTGTGATATGATGTGGCTTCTTACACATAATAAGGCAGTCGTGTATTTATAAGTCATGTTTAATCAATCAAAGCATTTCAATCTTCTCTTTATTCAGCTACAGCGATAGGGATTTCCTGGAATGATGATGCGCGTTATTCTACTTCTGCGCAGGGCTTATTTATCATGTCTGCGTGAGAGCGCCCTCTGGCGTTCAAATGGAGCAGCATTTACTACCGGTCAGCCGCACTGCAGTGAAAAGCTGCGCATAAAATATTTTATATATATATATAAAATCAAAATATAAATGAAAGTCAAAAGCACATTTTTAGTCATACCTGGAGGTTATATGGGCCATTCTATAGAATTGGTTCAAAGTTAGAGTTGGAAACATCTTGGAAAGAAAATTGTCTTTTTCCATAAATGTCTTTATAAAGTATTATTTTTTAAAGTAGGCCAATACATTTTATCATACATATTTCAAAGTTAAGGATTCATTATTTTGATATAGCTTGCATTGGAACAAACACTATAACAGTTGACTAGTTTATTTTTGACAAAACATACTATATATTTAACATATAAGCAGAAAATGTCTAACAAAAGCTTGTTTGATGTCTATTTTATAGTAAAAACGTTATAATCTATCCAAAACTAGTCAACGAAATATTGTCTTTTATTTCGTCTGTAATAGTGCGCATCTGTGGATTCGTTCATTCACACACAGACAGTCGATTCATATTTAAACAGTCTTTTTGGTTTTACAGATTCTATTCTATATCGTGATTAGAACAAATCTCAGTAGGCTAACAATATAGTTTGGATGTGTTCATGTAAAATAATGTAGGAGCGACAGTGAATGAATGCACAGATGCGATGCACATAGTAACATCGCGCGCGCATCTGTGCCATTCATTCATTCATTCACACACAGACACGCAATTCATATTTAAACAGTCTTTGTGCGGTTTACAGACACTGTTCAATAACGCGATTAGAACAAAGCACTTAAGAATAAATTACTTACTACATCAGCTGAATCCGTGCTCAAACTACCAGCACTTCTGAGGTAACTTTTCCAGGATTATTACGATAGTATTATTCCTTACAGCGCAGCAAGACGAGGTAAAGTACAAGATTCTTATTAAACTGGATGTTTTATCCAGCTGATGTGGGCGTTGGCATGGCTTGCCTCAACATTTGCGTTTGAATAGTCTCAGTGGGCGTGGTCACATTAAGCTATAATTAGCTGAAAGGAAAAAGACTGACATCTCTCTCTTTTCATACAGATTACATAAACTGAGTATATTTGTTTTTTATATAAATTACTTCATTTAAAAGAAGAGAATGTCAGCTTCATAAAGAGAAATCGCTTGTGTCTCTGTGACAAGTATTGACTGAGTTACAGTTCATTTTTCGGACGCGTTTCAGAATGGACTTCACTCGCAGAGAGGCAAAACGCGCATCATGTTTATTTTTCTTTATTTGACAAAAAGCACAACACTTTGTTTTTATTGTGAGTATCCACAAAAAAAGACACTTAACAGGATCGAATGATGTATAACACTTATATGTAAGATCAAAATCAGCAGAGTATTTTGAGTCTCTTTTGCACTTATAAGAAAAAAAGTGAGCTGGTATCGCCGGCGATATCGCAGTAGCAGTATTAACATTAAGTGACATGGCATCTGACGCACAGAAGCCAATGGCACATGTCACTATGCGTATTGGCACATCCGGTCTTCACTGGCATGTACCAGTGGATAGTGGCATTTGTCACTGACATTATCGCGACACACTGACAGGACACCTGACTGACACCGAGTCGCGGAACATGTCACCGTGTGTTGTGACACCTCCAGTAGTGACTGACAGATTAATCGAGCACCTATCCTGACGTAATTGTGACACAACATCCTAAATAAATAGCCTAATTTTGTGATATTTTAAATATCAATTAAACGCATTAAAGTCAGTAATATTTTTTCAAACGTGTTATTTGAGTCACGTCTGTATTTGATTGGTATGTGCCACTGAATGTTTTGTAATACCAGTGCTACTTTGTTGTTTATCTCGCAGTCACAAACTGCCCATTCTAGGAAAGACACGAAATAAATCTATCATGGGTCACTACGAATAACGTATTAACAGTCGCGTCCGTTACTGTAAACCTTTATTTTTGCGTGATGCTGCACGGACGCACGCCAGTAGGTGTCAGTATGACACTGGCCAGTGAGTGTAACACTGGCCAGCGCAAGATTCTCATCTGTGGCTTTAATATTTCAAAAATAATTGTATCGAATTATGTATAATAGCTAATGTTGTACACATTAACTCAGCGATGTAATAAATCATATGTTTAACAGCATAAAGCGAATTGTTATGCAAGTGACACATGACGGAATGCATTGGCACATCACACGTTTTAGTGACACATGCCAATATCCACTGGCACATGCCAGTTGGCCTGTGTCACTAAAACTGACATATTATGTTGTGGCACCTCCAGTAGTGACACCTGCAGATGTCTGCCTATAATGTAGATTATGTGCACATAGTTAATTTGTACAACAAAAATGGATTTTATTTATTAAATAGTTCCATAAAATTATTTTTGAAATATTAAAGGTACCGAGGAAGGTCCTGCGTGACCGAAACGTTTGTTGAATATTTAAAATGCACTGAGCATTTATTTGCACTTGTATAAATAAAGAAGATTGCTAGTACCTCTGTATGTAATCCTTTTCAGATACATAGCCTAACAGATTATTCTTAATAATTGATTTTTTTACACTTTTTGGAAGGACTTGAAATATTAAAGCCACAGAATATTGCGCTGGCCAGTGTTACACTCACTTATACTGACACCTACTGGCGTGCGTCCGTGCAGCATCACGCAAAAATAAAGGTTTACAGTAACGGACGCGACTGTTAATACGTTATTTGTAGTGACCCATGATAGATTTATTTCGTGTCTTTCCTAGAATGGGCAGTTTGTGACTGTGAGATAAACAACAAAGTAGCACTGGTATTACAAAACATTCAGTGGCACATACCAATCAAATACAGACGTGATTCAAATAACACGTTTGAAAAAATATTACTGACTTTAATGCGTTTAATTGATATTTAAAATATCACAAAATTAGGCTATTTATTTAGGATGTTGTGTCACAATTACGTCAGGATAGGTGCTCGATTAATCTGTCAGTCACTACTGGAGGTGTCACAACACACGGTGACATGTTCCATGTCCGCGACTCGGTGTCAGTAAGGTGTCATGTCAGTGTGTCGCGATAATGTCAGTGACACATGCCACTATCCACTGGCACATGCCAGTGAAGACCGGATGTGCCAATACGCATAGTGACATGTGCCATTGGCTTCTGTACGTCAGATGCCATGTCACTTAAAGGGTTAGTTCACCCAAAAATTAAAATTATGTCATTAATGTCTCACCCTCATGTCGTCCCAAGCCCGTAAGACCTCTGTTCATCTTCGGAACACAGTTTAAGACATTTAAGATTTAGTCCGAGAGCTTTCTGTCCCTCCATTGAAAATGTATGTACGTTATACTGTCCTTGTCCAGAAAGGAAATAAAGACATCATCAAAGTAGTCCATGTGACACCAGTGGGTTAGTTAGAATGTTTTGAAGCATCGAAAATACATTTTGGTCCAAAAATAACAAAAACTACGACGTTATTCAGCATTGCATTGTCTTCCGGTTCTGTTGTCAATCCGCGTTCAGTGATGCTGATGACGATCAGGTGCGGGTTCAGGTGCGGAAAGAGAAAATCATATTTTTGGGTGGGTTACGGGTGGATGATTTATTTTTAACGGTGGATTCGGGTGATGTTAGAGCTGATCCATGCATCTCTAATCACTACATATAGAGCAACTAGTCCAAGTACGGGCTGACCTAAAAAGGGCATACATCATTAAGTACTGGGCCTGGCATCGAATTCCTCTGCGAATTCGACTGCCGCAGATTGCTGAAGGGTAAAGCACATCCAGGGTTCTTTAGGGAACTCATGTGGACAAAAAAAGTGCACGTTATCACCTCAAAGAGGGGAAAGGCGCTGTGTGGAAGCGGTACACCCAGCCAGTTGCCCACAGCTTACCTGCTCGTACCTGACAAAACTGGCTCAACCCGGAGATTGCAAAATCTTGCAAAGGTATTAGGTGTCACCCAGCCTGCCACTTTGCAGATGTCTTTTGCAGATGTCTTCTAAAGCCCAGGAGGGCGCAACACTCCTCATAGAGTGTGCTTGTACTCCAAAAGGGCACCGCACACCCTGTGCCTGGTATGCCAAGGCAATGGAATCCACAAACCAGCGGACCAAACTCTATTTGGAAACAGCTTTCTCCTTCTGCTGTCCCCCAAAACAGACAAAGAGCTGCTCAGAGCTTCTAAAACTCTCCAAGTAAACACGCAGGGCGTGTACTGGACACAGCAAAGTTAAATACCCTGAATAATCAAATATCTAAATT